TCAGCAGATTTGAATTTATTTGTGTATCTCACGTCTTCCTTTACCAAGCATGAGACTTCACTTTCTGTTACATGACTACAGTAATTTAGAAAGTAAAAGGGGCTAGTGAGAGAAACCCCTTTTACTGAGGAGACTAACATAAAGACCAGAGGAAGAATGCTGTGTACTGTACTTCTGTCAAAGCTGCAGAGACAGTGCCAGGAAACTAACATGTGAAACTCCATTGTATTATTTGATGCAAATGTGTCTTAGAAAGACAGCAGTGTAGAAAATTATAGTATAGATTTTAGTTGAGTAATGAGCATTGCTTTCTAGAGTGCTTTTTGGTTGGGAATTTTTACATTGTTTTCTTAGTATGGTAATTAGATTTATACTTTGTACTAGTTTGATAAATTATGGGTAGATTGCAATTATTTTGGATGTCTAGCATTCTACTAGGGTTATCATTTGGGTTTAGAAATTGTTATATGGGGTTGGCAGGTGGTGTGGTGGTTGAGGTCAGCCCACATGGCTGACCATTGCTCCAGTCCTGGACCTGGAGGCTTGCTTTCTTGCTTTCCCTTTCTCTTGCCCTTTTCTCTCTCTCTCTGTCCCTCTCTGATCAAATTAAAATAAATAAATAAAATGAAATAAAATAAGTCTTTAAAAAAAAGAATCATCATTATATGAAGAGAGTGCCAATTTTCATCTGTTATATTTTATGTATTTATTTATTTTGGAGTTTTTTTTGCGATGGGGTGCGTGTGCTCACCAGAAAGACAGAGGGAGACAGAGAGACAGGAAGCGAGAAATCACCCACCCAGGGCGGATGGCCATGCTGCAATCCCTTCTTCTCCATTCTCCTCTTGGGCTCTTGGGCATGCACGTGCATGCGCCCAACGTAAGTTTAAGGCACCAGGTCCAGGACTTGAACTGTGGTCGACTATATGGGAGTCCAGCGACATAGCCATCACGCCATCTGCTGGTCCCAAAAGCTTAATAACTTCTATCTTTCCAAAGCATCAGAGGGTCTTCTAAGAAAATGTATATTTGGCCAGAGAAGATATAGGTCAGTGTGAGTGTCAGTATTAGAGATTGGTTTTTAATGTAGCCTTGTTTTGTAATGATAAGTGCTTTGGGTTCGTTTTAACACCTTGCTTTCTTACCAGTTCATTTCTTCTGCGCCAGACATTTTTTTTCAGACATTTTGAATGTTTATTTTAGTTAAGATAAATCAGTAATGAGATGTAGAACTTTTTGCCTTATTATTGAAATCATTTTTATCACTTCATTTTATATTTCATTGAAAGCAGCAAACCAAATCCCAACCAAATATCCACCAGCAATGGCAAGCCTGGTGCTGTGAACGGAGCCGTGGGAGCCACGTTCCAGCCTCAGAATCCTCTCCTCGGGCGAGCCTGCGAGAGCTGCTACGGTAAGGTTCCTCCAGCGGGGCTTTGCTTCCTCCTTCTGAGCCTGTCATCATTCAGCTGTGCTGCGCAGAGGCCAGCACAGTGTCTGCTTGGACTGAACAGGGGCTCAGAGGGGCCATGTGTGCTGAAGTGAGGCGTTGGGCATCTTTCCCTTTGCTTCCGTGGGGTCCTGTGTTGCTGGAGGGTCCATAGCAGCATGTGCTACTCTGTGTTCAGAGTCTTGCTCATTTTGCACGAACTAGGGCCCGTAATATGTGCTGAGTCCCCTGTTGGAGTTTCTCAGTACAGTTTGACAACTTAAAGGTGCCAAATAATAATTCTGTAGAAAAGACCCTTGTGTTAAAACCAGATCTTGTTACAGGGGACAACTTCCTGATGTAGATGTACAATTAGAGGTTAGGTTGGAAATTTAAAGGCTTTTTTGGGGATGTCTTCAACCTCTGTAAATACGTACATGCTTAATCTGTTGTAAACCAAGAGTGTGTTCCTGTGTATGAATTTGTTGTACTGATTTCTGCTTCAATAGAAGCTGCACCTTTAATTTCATAAGATCCCCTCTACCTGTAACCCTAAAAATGTTTGTAAACATAACACTAATATAACACCAATAAAATTTGTAGTGATCGAGTCAATTTGGGAATATATCTACTGAGAGACCAAAAAGTTCATTTTTATAAGTACCTTGGTTAAAGAGTAAAGATTATTTCTCTTGCTTATTTTTTGAAGAAGAATGCACTTTAACATAGTGCTTGCTACATAGGCAATTAGAACAAATCCCAAGTGCAGTACCCATTCAGAAATTGCACTTTCTGAAAACTGTTCAAAGCACAATTCAGATGGGTTGTTGATCTCACCACCTATAGGTTGAAGCTCAGATTCTAATCAATTTTGAGATGAGCAGGTCTGCTTCAAAAGAGCAATGTGAATACAGCCAGAAGCTTCAGGCAGGTCTGTAAAGTGGCAGGTCCCATATTTACCACTAACTAACAAAACTGACAGAAAAACTCAGAAAAAGTGTTTAAGAATCTCTTACTGTTGTGCACTCCTTACAGTAGCAGACTTTTGCAAATGGAGTTTTGCAGTCTGTATTTTTAAAATCGTGTGTTTGTGACAAAGTCTGTAGAAAATAGGGGTAAGAGCGAAAGAAAAGACCCATGTGTGGATTAACTGCCAAGTATAACCCTCCGACCAGGTTCCTCAGGGCAGCAGTTTGGGGAATGCTGTCTTGTGATATTTGCTCAGGCCTGAGCCCTGCTGGGTTTATTTACCTATTCTGGCCGTCTTGTGTTTGCCGTGGGTGTTAAATGCGGTAGGTAAGAGGAACTGTTGGGTAGTGGATACGCTTTATATGTGTCTTTAAAATCTCAAGCAAAAATACAGTCTCTTGGGCCAGCCTGTAGTGTGTTGGTGAAGGCGGCTGGATTCCACATGACTGACACTGGGCACATGTGCATCGTGTATGCCCAAAATCACTGCAGGAGGGAAAGATGGAAGAGAAGAGGTTGCAGCTTGACCAAATCCATGAGGGGTGCTTTCTTCCTTTCCCTGTCTCTGTCTCTTCTGTGAGTGCACACAGAACAATTGAGGAACAATATCGTCTTGAAATAGGGTGTGGTTACATTGTCAGCCTGTTTCCTTCCAGTCAAGGTGGCTTGGGGTGGGAGAAGGAGAGAAACCAGTGTTTATTCAAAGTCAGCTTTGGCTCTCTGCAGCTCTTTAGGGGTAGATGGTGCTTTAAGGAGATAGGAATGGGGGGCGTTTGTGTCTCTGCTTCTTACACCAGGCTTCAGCATTGGAAAAAGCTATTTTTGTTTTTGATAGTCAGGGTCTCACTATGTTGGTCATGTTGGCTGTGACTCGTGATCTTTCCTGCCGAGTAACAGCATCAGCCAATGCAAGCTGCTGAGACCAGGCCTGGAAAAGGCTTTTAAAGCCAAGTCATGTAATTATCTCTCCTGATCCTAAGGAAGGTGTGAGCCAGATAAATGCCGACTTCATAGGAATGCTACATGGGGATGTGTCTAAATCATTTTCTGTACCATGGAGCATAAAGGAAAACAATTTGTGGAAAATTATATTCTTCTGGTCATGATTTTATATGGATAGCATCATATTTTTGAATTGGAAATTTTGAAATTTTGAAATTCATGTCTATTTAAATGAAAATAAGAGGGGCTGACAGGTGGCATGGTGGTTAAGGGCCCTGGACTCCCATATGGCTGACCGCAGTTCAAATCTCAACCTAGTGGCTTACTTTCTTGCCCGCCCCCCCACTCTGTCCCCTGTCCTTCTCTGGTCAAATTAAAAATAAATAAGGTTGAAGAAAATGATTTAAAAAGAAAAGAAAAGAATTCTGCAGATAAATGGAAATGGCTTAATCTGTCTTAAATTGTGACTTGCAAACACCCTCCATACTCAACATGAATTCCTTTACATAAATATTCTGTTATTTTTTTCTTAAGGAATTACTTTATTTAACTTTATGTATTTATTTTTAATTTGACCAGAGAAGGAGAGAGAGAGAGAGAGACAGAAAGCAAGCTGCTGAGTCCAGGACTCAAACTGCAGTCAGCCATGTGGGAGTCCAACACCCTTAACCACCATGCCATTTGCCGGTCCAATATTCTGTTCTTTTTCTGTGTGCATGAAGTTAGTTTGCTATAGGAAGCATATACTCTCTAGAGGGAGACAGAAACAGAGACAGAGAGAAAGAGAGCAAGAGAAAGAAAGAAAGTGGGAAGTCACCCACCAGGGGTGATGCCCATGCCACTGTCCCTTCTACTACATTCTCTTTTAGGGATTTTGGGCATGCGTGCACAGTGTGTTTTTGAAGCCTGACGTGTTTTTCACTAACCATGCAGTAGGCCATGTGATTACCCAGCTGCCTTAACCACCATACCACCAGCTGGCCTGGAATAATTATATAGTATTTTAGATCCATATGTTATTAAATAATCTCCATTATAAAATATCTTGATATATACGTGTAAGCGTTATCTCTAAAGAAACAATGTGATATTTCCTGTTTATCAAGTTATACCTCTTAATTGAATTTGAGTCAATTATTAAAGGAAAAGGCATTTATTGACTAATAAAAATGATACATCATGATTGGTTTGTGTAAAAATGTATATTTGAGTGAGATTTTATATTCCAGAATAGATTTGTGGCTTGTTATTTAGTATTCTTAAAATTTGTATTAAAAAAAAAATCCTGAGGGCCATCAGGTGGCATGGTGGTTAAGGCCCAGGATCCCACATGGCTGATTCCCAGACCTGGCAGCTTGAAAAACACACTGGATGCATGAGCATGAGTACCCAAAATCCTGAGGGGAGAATGGAGGAAAAGGGATTGTGGTGTGGTCATCCCCCCTAAGGGGTGTGATTTCTCACTTTGTCTGTCTCTCTGTCCCTTTCTAGTGAAAACATGTGCTCTATGACAAAAAATCTCAAATAAATAAAGCACACTTATTTTATTTATTGTGTTCAATTATAAGAGAAGAGACTTTTAGGCCTCTTTTTTGAAAGGAATCATCCCAAAATGACAAAATACAGGTGTATAGTATTATTTCCAACATTCTAAAAGGTAACTTGACTGTAATAGCCACTGTGTTTTCTGCTTTGACATTAGTTTGTGAAGTGTTAGTTGACACCTATGTAAACTGAATATTTTGATCTAATGAAGGTAAATTAACAAACCAGAGGAAGAATATTGCAAAGCAAGTTTACAGAATTATAATAACTTTTACATACCTCATTAACTTAGTGTTTCAATATCAGTGTTCTGTTTTAAATTTTGTCGTCATCATAGGTATACTATAGATCTTATATGGCAGTGATTAAACTATAAAACTAACATAGGCTTGCAGCATTCAGCTAAATGATGTATCAACCAAGTTTTAGATTTTAAGTATTTAGTTATATAAACTGTACATGCTTGCTTGATAACAGATTTCTTTTCATTTTTTTGAGAGAGATTTTTGTTACAGGGTGAGTGCATGTGCCAGAGACAGAGGGAGACAGAGACAGAAAGTAAGAAAGCCCCCCGGGTGGGGGGGGGATGTCCACGCTGCAGTCCTTTCTCCTTCTTTCTCCTCCCAGGACTTTGGGCATGCACGCACATACTCCCGGCATGAGTTTCAGCTTGCCAGGTCCAAGACTCAAGCTGCAACTGGCCATGTGGGCGTCTAGCATCTTAACATTATACTGCCTGCTGGCTGAGGGATTTTATTTTCAAAGGGAGTAGGATTAACTTATGTATTTTGTCTCTTGAATGAAATAAAGGAATGAAAAATACGTAACTGTTTCTTTTAGATCTCTGACTATCAGTAGGGCCCCTCTGAGCACCAGGTACCATGAATTGGTTTCTGAACCATAGGTTTGGAAGCCTGTATTTAGACTTTTAAATGCTAATAATAAGAACAACAACAATAACAATATATTTCTGAGAGCTTATTTCCAGAAATGTATACAACAACGAATGTTTTTAATTAATAAAAGAAAAACTCCTTCTTAAGCACAGTGCATAACAAAGGATGCTTCACTTAACAGCTGCTCTCGAGAAGTGCCACAGGCACTTCATACGCAATCGAGGTAAATGACTTAATGAATTCTAGGTATTGAAAGTGTATTTATTTGCTGTATTTTCATGTTTGGCTTATAAACCGAGAAATAGAAATAGCACTGTAAACTAAAGATAGTTTTGGAGTATTTTTGAAATATCTGATAATATTTATATTGATGTTACAGATTACATAACATTCTTCGTTCTTTCTTTCTTATTTTTTCTCTAGCTACCCAGTCTCACCAGTGGTATTCTTGGGGCCCACCTAATATGCAATGTAGATTATGTGCAACTTGTTGGCTGTATTGGAAAAAATATGGAGGCCTGAAAATGCCCACTCAATCAGAAGAAGAGAAGTTATCTCCCAGCCCAACATCAGAGGTACATGAGCAACAGATTTTTTAGTATTGGAAAATGTCATGTTTTTTGACAGCGGGATCATTTCTTGGAAACATAAATACGAGAGAATATTTTTATAGCCAAACGTAGCACCATATTCAGGGTGGTTGTGGAGAGAGATTTTTTCAGGTATTCAAAATATTGGTCTTCAGAGATTAGCAGACAAAAGAATAATATGTGTAGGAGGTAATGTCATAAGTAGAGAGCTTACGAATTAAATATTTGTTTTAATTGTTTTTGAAAACAGTTGTAACCTGTAGTTACTGTTGAAAATATGTCATAATTTTATTATAGTTTTTAAAATTAAAAGACATTTCTCTATTCATTATAAGAGCATATGTGCACACATGCGAGAGAGAGAGAGACTAGACCTAGAATTTAGTCACACGGCTCTCTTCTTCCTCCAGTCCTCCAGCCCATCAGATCTTGGGCATTTGTGTACATGGCCAATGTGTTTTAAGCTGAACAGTGCCAGGGATTTGAACCACTGTTGCCATGTGGGATTTAGCCTTTCTTGAGTGGCATGTTACCACTGTCATGTAGCCAGACCTAAGTATAATTCTTAATTGACATAATAGTCATACATATTTTTGCAGTACAGTATTTCTTCAGTACACACAATGTGTAACATCAGATTAGAGGAGTAAACATCTATTGTCTCAAACATTTATTATTACTTTGTGTTGTAAACATTGAAAATATTTTCTTCTAGGTATTTGAAAACAAACATTAAATTGTCACTAACTGTAGGTGTGCAATAGAATTCATCTCTCTTTACCTACCTGCAAGTTTGTATCTGTTAAGTAAAGAGAGTGTGTCTTATGACGTGAAGGAATAAATATAAGTTGAGCATTTTTTCCTCCTCCCGACTACTGTGGATGGACAAGGAATTACAGACGCAATCTGGTGGCCAACAACAGTTGAAATGTCATTTTGGCAACATCTTCATAGATTGAAGATGTCGAGGAGACTTCTCTTTCAGTGACAGCAGGATCTCAGGACTCCTTAACCTTAAAGCAAACAAAGAAACAAACAAAAAAATCTAGTCTCCCCCAACTCTTTGGAAATTTCTTACTATCTTGAATGTGATTTGGGATTGTTTTATAAAAGTAGACCATTATACCGATACCCAGTTCCCTTCTCTCTTCTTACCCATTTCCTTCTCCAAAGCACACACTTTTTAATTCTGTCTTTGAGGGGTGGGGTTATAGATGCTTCAGTGGATGATTTAAAAGTTGTACTTTTCTTTGCGCATCAGGCAAATAGTAATGTGTTTTGGCAAGTTCTATTCTTTAAATGTCTGTCGATTTCTGATTTTGTAGGACCCTCGTGTTAGAAGTCACATGTCCCGCCAGGCCATGCAGGGGATGCCAGTCCGAAACACTGGGAGCCCAAAGTCTGCAGTGAAGACCCGTCAGGCTTTCTTCCTTCATACCACATATTTCACAAAATTTGCTCGTCAGGTCTGCAAAAATACCCTCCGGCTGCGGCAGGCAGCAAGACGGCCGTTTGTTGCTATTAATTATGCTGCCATTAGGGCAGAATGTAAGATGCTTTTAAATTCTTAACCTTATATGTTGTGCTTCTGACCATTCTCTCTCTCTCTCTTTCTTTATTTTTATTTTTTTGTTTGTTTGTTTGCAATAAACATAAGTTCTTGTGTACAGCCTTTTATTTGGTTATTTTTTTTTAACATTGTTTTTGTCTGCTGCCATTTGTATCATGCCACCCTGAAAGAAAACCATTGACACCTCTGTAATCTTTACCAGAAGTAGTACTCAGCCAAAGATAGGGGAGGGATCCTGTCCGGTACTTGAGTTTGGCGATGGAATCCCCCAAGGAGACTTATTGAAGCACTTGACCAATTAGGTAGTACCACAAAATGACCTCTGAGGGCATTGTTTACAGTGATACTTCGTGTTTGAGGTGGCACAGTCCAGCCTTATATGGATTCATTAGGTTTAAATAAAACTTGCCAGTTTATACCAAGTAGAAATTGTATGTCTTTATAAACCTCTTGCTTTCCACAAATGTTTTTACAGTTGCCCTGTAACATGGAAATTCACAGTGCTTCATAACAGATGCTTTAGAAGGTTTAACAAATTATAAATAAATTGTAAAGTCACATTTGGGGTGCATTTTCTAAAAGTACACATTTAGGTATTGCAAGCCAGAGTCAAAAGTTGTGGTTTTGTGGTTGAGCAATCTATTTGTCCAGTTTGGTTTTCATTTCATAATCATATATCATAAATATTGCCATATAACATTTACATGACTGTTACTCTTACCTTCAACACATTCAGTCTTGCTTATGTTTCTTTTGTTTTGTTTTGTTAGAACAAGGGTCATATGTACCAGTGAATTGTGGATTTTTCTGCTGTGACCACATAACTGAAAATGTGTCTATAATTTGTGTTTGGTCTGCAGTCATATTCCTGGCTGACATGTTAGAGACATGCAACTGTTTGTTTTTGTTTTTGTTATTTTCCTAAGGGATGAGAAAACTTGCTGTCTGGCTTAACAGATATGAAAATCTTAAAGACACATTCAGATGCTTAGTCTCTGAGAGATAAGAAATCTTTTACTATAAGATGCTCCACTTTGATTTAAAGAGGATACCCATAAAAGGTGTTCTTAAAACAGTTTTGTTTCCCCTTTTTGTTCCTAACAGTAATTTTTAGCAGAATAGGGAAGGCTTTAAAACATACAGATAAAAGTTGAATAAGAAAAGCTGCTTTGTAAAAGGAGTGATCATTGGTAGTGATGGCAGAGCTCCATGGAGGGGAAATGAACTACATTGGATTCATGCATCCTTGAGAATTTAGGCTTATGTTTAGGTTCAGGCGAGCATTTCTGTCTATGGCCTTTTGTTGTCAGTTTCTTTCTTTCTTTTTGTTTTTAATTATTTTTTTTAACATAATTTAATTTGACCAGAGAGGAACACAGTGAGAGAGAGAGAGAGAGAAAGGGTTTTTTTAGAGAGCCAGCTGCCAGGTCCAGGACTTGAACTGTGGTCGGCCACGTGGGAGTCCAGAGCCCTTAATCACCACACTACCTGCCGGTCCCTGTTGTCAGTTTTTTAAGAAACTGGAAAGTAAACATTTGTGTTCCCCCGAACTGAAGCGGATTTAAAGCACATAAATTTATATATGCTTTCTTAAAAAATAATAAAACCTTTGAGAAGGAAAGTAAGTGAAATTTCTCCTTAAAGTTATACGGGATCGATGACCCTTTTTGTTCTTATGAATGGAAAAGAAACCATCATCTACTTAATTGGCCACTGAAGAATCTTCTGTTTACTGTGGCTCTTCTGTTAATTTCCAGCCAGTTTGCACATTGTCTTTATTTTGGTTATTCTCCAGTGAAGTATATTTTGTGTCACCTCATTCTGATTTTTTTCCCCCTCAGTTGGAAGAGCCATTCTACTAAAGGGGCCAGCAGGTGGCATGGTGGTTAAGGTGCTGGACACTCCCACATGGCGGACCATGGTTCGAGTCCTGGACCTGGTGGCTTTCTTTCTCACTTTTCCTCTTCCTCTCTCTCTGTGTCTCTCTTTGGCCAAATAAAACAAATGAATGAATAAATAAAATTAAATAAATGTTTTTTTTTTAAAAGAGTCTACTGAAAAAGCAGTAAACTACCTGCATTTTATTTTTAATTTAGTTGCATTAGTCATTGAATTCCATATCAAATCAGAGTCTTAGAATAATTAATTTTACTTTGAGATTTAAAATGAAGGCAAAAAGAAAAATTCAGCAGCCATCTACTCAGTTATTTTTTTCACAGAGGCAACTAAGAAACTTTTTCCTAGCATCTAATCTATCATTGTCCTCTTCCTTCTTTCTTGTACCTTGTTACAGACTCTTCAGCAGATCCCTTGGTCTTCGCTTATTAGTGGGAAGATATGCTTTAGTAACTGGGTCTCTCTAGGCAACCATGTCTGTGGTCCACGGGGGGGCCGATAGTAGGTTTTATTGTTTTTAGTAAGCTTTCCTTGGTTTTTCAGAGATAGTGTTGACCTTTCCCACCATATACCACCCCCCTCCCCCAAATAAAAAAGTTAAGCAAAACTATGATACAGTATGAATGAACTTTCAGGTCAGTTAGACATTTGTTAGTTCTCTTTTTTCAGAGAGAGACTTTGCTATAAGGCATATGTGCTCGCTGGAGAGACAGAGACAGAAAGTGAGAAATCACCCCCCAGGGGGGATGGCCATGCTTCAATCCCTTCTCCATTCTCCTCTTGGGATTTGGGCACGCGCACACACATGCGCCCAGGGTGAGTTTAAGCCACTGTGTCCAGGACTCGAACCACTGTTAACTACTTGGAAGTCCAGGACGCAAACTTTATGCAATCTGCTGGTCCCAAATGTTTGTTAATTCTTAAAATACTGATCAATCAACTTCTAATTAAGGCCATTTATTTATCAGCACATTGGAAAAGGAAAGTGGTTTTCCCTGTGAGCTTGCGATTCTTCTCTTACAAGCACTGTAGGTGACTCCTTCCATGCGTGCTTCCCTTGGCAGCACCATCACAGGGTGGATAGCCAGCACGTTTAGGAAGTGGCAGACACAAAAATGAAGGAGTTGGGAGCCAAGATGGGAGACGGCATCATGATTATGAGTTACTGACTGACAAGTAATCCCTGGTTAGAGGAAAGCTTTTTGTTTGGTTATGGGAATACTTTTTTATTAAGAAACCTATATTAAGATACCATCAGATGGCATACTGGGTATTTGGCTGGACCCCCACATAGTAGACTGCGGTTTGAATTCTGGACCTAGGGGCTTGAAACTCATGCCATGTACATGTGCATTGCATGCCCGAGATCCCGAGAGGAGAATGGATTGCGGCTTGGCCATCCACAACCCCCCGCCCCGGGGGTGATTTTTTTACTTTCTGTCTCTGTCTGTCTCTCTCCAGCGAACTCACATGCCCTATAGCAAAAAAACTCTCTTAAATAAAAAAAGAAATAGAAACCTGTATTAAAGTATAAAGTATAGTGAAAAGGAGAATCTCTGTATATGCATAAAATAGCTCAAAGAATAGGTAAGATGTGACAGCATCTGGGACAGGGATCTGGGAGACCAAGGGAAAATTGGGGAAGGAGATACACATTCTTGGACACACTTCAATTTGAACCATGGGAATGTATTTTCTATTTTACTAAAAATAAATTCTAGTATGACCAACATATGTTTAAGAATAAATACATGTAGGGACCAGCAGTTGGTGTAATGACTATGTTGCTGGACTCCCATGTAGTTGACCGTGGCTCAAGTCCCGGACCTGGTGGCTTAAACTCTCAACGGGTGTGTGTGAGTGTGTGGCCAGGATCCTGAGAGGAGAATGGAGGAGAAGGGATTGCGGGGGGTGATTTCTTGCTTTCTGTCTCTCTGTTTGTCTCTCTTTCTGGTGAGCGCACACGCCCTATAGCAAAAACCTCTCCCCCAAAAAAGAATAAATATATGTGATATATATATAAAAAAATACTTAAAAATCAGTTTTCCCAAATACGTCATTTTTTTCTTTCGAGTTTTCATTCTAGAGTGCATGCACTGGAGGAGGGAGACAGAGGCAGAGAAGGAAAGTGATAAATCACTGTTCAGAGGGAATAACCACACTGCAATCCCTTCTCCATCCTCCCCTCTGGATTCTGGGCATGCAGGCACATGTGCCCGGTGTATTTTTCAAGCCACTGGGTCCAGTACTCAACCCTCACAGTCGGCCACCTGGGACCCAACTACTTTAGCCTCTGTGCCATCTGCTGGCCCTTAAATATTTATTTTAATAATACACCTTTATATGTGAATATGTGAGCGTGCCAAACATTACTAACATTAGTGAAATGCTTCCATGCAGACTGCCTACCAAAAATGGAATCGTAGGTCAAAACTCAGAACACTCCATAAAGAAAAGTACAGCGTCCTTGAGAGGAATTATTGCTCGCAGGATGGTAACACAACATCAAGTTTATTGACTTGTTTCCCCCCTTCATACTCTTCTGTCTTTTAAAAAGCAACTATATGATGAAGTCACAGTGTTCCTCTTTTGTTACCACCCTCAGGCATGGCTTCAAAATTACCCAATGACTTGATGAAATATCTCCAAATCACCCAGACACCTGATCAGCATAGGATTATCACTAGGGAAGATCCAAGGTCCTCAGAGACTGAATTTAAGGAGAAGTGGGTGTCTTAGAAGCATTCCGTAGTAGAAATTAAAGAACTCACTAGAAATGTAGATCAAATGATTTCTCTGCCCCCTCTTGGTAACTTGCATAGGAATGAAGTGATCTGAGTTGGTAACAGGGAGACTTGAATGGCAACAGTACTCCCCAGCATGAAGTTATTTGGGAGTAACTTGGAGCTATTTTTCTGCCTGAAGATACTAATCCAACTTTGGAAGTATCCGGAGACACCCCCCCCACCCCACTTTTCATGAGAACATTTCCCATCAAGTGTTACTATTAATTGTGTAAGCATTTCTGAAAATTTAAGCTCTTCAACATTAGGAGAAAATGATTTTTGCTTGCTTATTTAGT